CAAATGACGGCGGCCTTAAAAGTACGTTCGAGACAACTGGATTAAAGTTATGTCTGAATACTCTGAGATCGCCACAATAGCACTTTTGCTATTTCCGACATCCTACCTGTGTGAGGCGGGGGGTTTCTGCAGCAACGGCGATGAAAACAAAATTACAAAGTAGACTGGACATAAACCACACACTTGAGGTGTCATTGTCTCCTATTACCCCGAGATGGGACCGTCTGGTTGCAGAAAATCAAGCTCGGTGCTGTGGTGAGTCGTCATTTTCATGCACTTTGAATTTGCGTTGTATCGTATTTTGAAGGCATTAAACATTGCCATAGCGATCGGAGTGTTGCGGCCAGATTAGACACTCCTTGTGTTTATTATTATATTTCGAAAACGCCACAGTTTTCATCCAGCTCATACCATATTATTTTGTTGTATTATTTCCGCCACACCTTAAATGCCGGTCCCTGAAAATATTGTCTGACATAAACCGGTCCGTGGGGCAAAAAAGGTTGGGGGCCCCTGACCTAGGTGGTCTCATGAAATGCATTTTCAGTGCCGTGTGCTGGTCTCGTGCGGCCGCACGTGTCACCATGCCGTTTTAGTATACAAGCAAGAAGGCGCGGTTGGGAGTTGATCCGATCGGTTGCTCAGTGTGAGCTCTTTGTAAGATGGGAGGATGGGGGGGAGCAAGGTGAGACAGGTGTTCCTCTTAGCCGCCTGCTGGCGACTCAGCTTGATGAGATCACAGGGGCATCAACTTTCACCTCTCTCTATCCCGGTCGTATTTCTCCAGCTCTTTCTAGTTTCCACCACGTTACTCAGTTTTCATTGTTGTGAAGGGGACCAAAATAGTCAAAAAACACCAGATAACGTTGCAGCACCATTAAAATTGGCATACCAACTGAAGTTGCAGGCTCAACAGTGATTCATCCGCTCCATATAAAAGTAGGAATGGAACTGGAAGAATATGAAACATCTTTTCTGAAGCAAAGCATGTCTTCAAGCTAGAAACAGCCGCACACTTCCCCCTTTGTGTGATGTGCATCAAAATTATACAGCGGAATTATACATGAAATTTTGTCCGGCGGATCATAATCAATGTGAGGAACGAAATGAAATGAACAAACGAAAATGCCAAGCCCAAAGAATAAAATGCTAGCTGTCTACCATTGCTGTCCTTTGTTTACAAAGTTGTGTTGGTCCCTGTTGACTTCATTGGGCTGGACCCTGTCCCGCTGCTAAGATGACACATCATTTATGGAGCTCATGCATTGCGCCTGATCACTGTTTGTTTTTCTAAAGCTGAACAATTGCACCATAAAGGATTTCTCTGCTTGGAAGAAACTAATGGATGCCGTGGTTACCTTGTCGAAATTCTAGATGTATTTCACAGAAAAAAACAAAAACTGGCATCTTGGATCAGGGCTTTAAAACTACTGATACCAATGCCGATCATCTGTGAGTACCACAGCGGAGCTCCTCGTGACCATGGTACCTTGGGAACACAATTGTTAGTCAAGAGTGTGCTGGAGGAAGGTGAGCAAGGGGCTAGGAAGAGGTTGGAATAAGTAACAGTCTCTGGACAGATAAGCTCCAGGGAGGGAACCATAGAGGGAGGGAGGAGGAGAAAAAGCTCCAGGGAGGGAACCATGGAGGGAGGGAAGAGGAGAGCGCCCGCCGACCGGCTGGCAGAGAACAGAGGGAGTCTCTCTTTTCTCCTCCTCTCTCTCCGATTTGCCGGCTGCCGCGCGTCTTCTTCCTCTTCTGGTCTGCTTGTGTTCTCTTGCCGGCTGGTTAGAGAAGTTGGAGCATGGACTTGGGCAGACGGCGCCTGACGTGTGGATGCTCACTGGGGAGTCATTGTAAGCTGCTCTGAATGATGGCTTTCGTTTCTCTTTCTAGAAGTAATGGTAAGCGACATGTTTCTCCAGCACCGTAGCTCCCCCCTGGTGGCTTCAATGTTGTTTAGTGAGCATTATTTGCTTTTCCTGAGGCACACTTTACAAGAGAGAAAAGCTCGCCTGCAAGCTGCCGCTACTTCTGTGACTGTTTGTTTATATTCAACATTTTTTGCCCCTGTGGATGTTACCATGCACAGAGCACGCTTCTACTCTTCCCTTGACCAAGCACCGTGCGCCCTCTCCTCCCCGCTCTTGCACTGTCTCCTTTAAATGTCTTAATGGCCTCTGGGTCCCAGCTAGCCAGCTGGGATACCCCTGTATGTGTGTGCGCGTGTGTGTGTCTGCCACTTTTTTGTAGGCTAGTGTGCCCCCGGTATATCCTGGTTTTCCCCGCTTTTTGCACATTTTGAAGCGGTTATTTATTAATGAATTTATTAAGGCAAGTGCATTGATAGTGGAATGACGTAGACAGCGTGGGTTCGATTCCAGGCCAGCGCATGTAAATTTCCCAACTGTGCCAGTAATAAAGATTATGTCATCATATGCACGGCCGCTGCTTGTTCCAAGCCCAGATGAAAAATGAGTGGGTTGCATCAGGTATAAAAACTTTACAAAACAAATTATGCGAGAGAGTCGGTATGGAGATTCATGATGAGACAAGCCCAAAGTCAAGGCTCCACAGCAGCAGTAAACAGACAAGTACCAGTTTACGGTTGTTCGGTGTAGTACCACGTAGTGTCGTAAAATGCCAGGCAGCACTGAGGTCTGCTGGTCGTAGATGCAGAGGCATTACAAGCAACAAGAGGCAGAGGACGTCCTCAATAGACATAGGGTCGGTATAAGATTCACTGGATCATTTACAGCTCTGAAATGCATCATTTTGCAAACTATTTTCCATTGAATGCAATGTAGAATATTGGGTACATGAGTAAACATGAACAATATCAAAAACTTTCTTTTTGTAAATACTCTTAAAACTGAGTACAACAGTAAACGTATGAGTTTCTCAGGGATTGGCTCCCTACTTCTCTGTTCTTTGCCACTTTGTGGTAACATCAGAGCGGAAACAAGCTCAGCATCCTAACAAAACACTTGCGCTACACTTGTGTGTTTTCTTTTTACTATTTTGCTGCTTCTGTTGTTCCTTTGATGTTCTATTGGTGCTTTTATTGCATTTGAACCCATATTTTATACATTTGGGGACACAAAATGTGCCTGTAAATAAAACATCAATGATTATTTATTAATCAGCAAATTAGCCAGTGTTAGCCATGTTGGTTAGCCATATTGTCTCCCTCAGTACCTGGTCCATAGAATTTATTCCATCAATTGTAGACACATGACCTCTTGGAGCTGGTTGCAAACATTTGTTTTCAAGACAGTGAGCATTACATTGATATATTGACATTTGTCAAAGAGTGTTGGATAGTGCTCTTGAAAATGTGATATTGCTTACTTTTTGGGGAAATTTGGGGCTCACTGGGGAGGGTGTCATGTCACTGCCTACACTGCCAATTAAAAAAGAAAAAAAAATCACTGATGGAAAGTTTAAACGGTTCTCAAACTGTGACTTTTTCAAGCCATGGTATACCTTGAAACCGGTAAGCTCCAGTAATAGTGGTTGTTTCCACAGAATCAGTGTGTGTCAAAGTAGCAGTTATATGAGGGTATATTGTATTGTATACGATGAGATAAATCTATGCGCTTTTACATTAGCCCGGGGGTCGGCAACATGCGGCTCCAGAGCCTCATGCGGCTCTTTAGCTCCGCCTAGTGGCTCCCTGGAGCTTTTTAAAATGTTTGAAATGGAAAAAGATGGGGGAGTGAAAGGAGGACAAACACTCTTAACATTTTCCAATGCTGTAAAAATATGTTGAATAAATATTACATTTCAACATTTCTGTCAACGAAGATTTGCGTCATAGCCTGCGACACACGTTTCTATTAGCAGAGCGGGATGCCAGGCAGGTGGCTGTTGTAAGAAGAAACGGCATTTCATGTCCAATTCACCGAGGGAACTGACAAAGAATGGCAATCTGAAGGACCGAGAGAAGCATTTTAAAACGTCAGCTACGAACGTTAACACGCTGCAAAAGTGTGTCCCGTGCCTGGTTCATCTTAGCTGCCGTTATGGCTGTTTGCTCATTATGGCATGCGTGTGTAAGTGCGTGCGTTTGCATGCGTGTGCAGTCACGGGTCGATCGCGGGAGGCTGGTTGATCGAAAAATAGAGCTTTGGTCAAAAAAGGTTGGGCCCCCCTGCTCTACAGGATGCACTGCAGGGGGAAAAAAATGTTTAATCGGGAAGGCTCATTGTGTCTTTGTAGCCAACTTAGTCATTTTGATAGCAGGCTAAGATAGGTAATATAGATACATACAGCATGTGTTGCCTTCTTTCTGAGGCTTTTAATATGTTGCGCATTTGTTTTGGGGTATTTTTTGGTCCAATATGGCTCTTTCGACATTTTGGGTTGCCGACCCGTGCATTAGCCTGTCTATACCGTTTCACATTACAGTATACGTTAGCATTGAGCTAACTGACTTTCATTAGACGAAATGACATGATTCGGTTGAACGTTAAGTTGTTTAAATACTAAATAATGAATTCTCCTTTCTTCAACTTGAGGAACAATTAGACAGCGTGAAACAAGCACACTCCGCCTCTTATTTGGAGAAGGCAGGCCCTCAGGAAGACTTTAAAAGGTGTACCTTGAGAACTTGAAATGTTTTTTAGCGTGTGAAAAAAAGGTTTCATATGGTCTCTCAATGTCATATGGATTTTCACTTTGTGCGGTAGGGCCCGGAATGTATCGTCGTGATAAACGGGGTTTCACTGTACCGAGGGAGCTGAGGGTTGTCGGATAAGTACTCCAAGATTTCCCCTGCTCTCATACAGTAATAGGATAGATCCTGCTTTCTATTTTTAGCTGAGACACTCCAAGCACTCCTAATCTGACAGCCTGCAGTAGCGGTGTGTTTAGTCTGTCCGTGACTGTTGGGTCGGAGTGAGAGGATACATTTGTGTGGTCCGTCCTGGCGAAGAGAGATAGTAGCCCTCCTATCTGACTTGATCCTTTTGTTTTTTCAGCCGCTGACCCGCGTGTCCCCCTCCCCATGATCCCCCGGGTCCCCTTTCTATGATATTGTTTCTCGTCTTTGTACTCGTCCCAAATCAATACAGACTTCCTCCCCCAGCAGTATTTTAATGACTGCCCCTCTTAAGCATTGTTATTCACTTCTCCGGCTCCTTTCTTCTCACTCGCTGCCTTTCTCTGGCAGCAATTTGCCAATGATGTGAAGGGTTTTCAGTACAGTAAATATTCTCTAGGGCGGACTCGTGTTTGCGCTGTCCAATTTGTCCTGATAACAGAAATTCCTCATTTGGGAAATGAGCATGGTACATGTCCTTTATGAACCTGCAAGTATGTTGACAAAAATGCACGTGTAACAACACAATCAATAAAATACAAAAATATACTGTCCAAAAACTGTGTATAACAAAAACTGCAATACAGGTGTATCAAAAAAAAAATCACAACAGTAAAATACGTACAGTATTTTAATGTTTCTTTTTTTTCTGTCTTGGGAAAAAAATGTGTCTATTTTGGATTGTTTGGTTGGATGCATTCTTTGGTTTATGACAATATTTGCCTGCGTGTCATACATTTTTCTTGCTAGTTGCAAGCAGCTGACGTCAGATCAAACTGGGGATTTAAAGTTTTGTAGATTTGCGTCTTTCCGACTCCAAGTGTCTGCTGGATGCTTTTAACTTTGTGTCCAGCCTTGCTCAAATGGATGCATTTCACTCGCTCCGCTCCAGTCATTACAGTTCTTCTACGTTTCGATGCCATGATCTACACGACGTAAGTGAATAAAGTTAAAATCTTTCGCAATTGCAGTCAAACGCACGCCAATAAAGTCACTTACACGTCTTCGTTTCGAATCTGATGAATGTGAACAGCGAAGCGAACACGTCTGTTCGGTCGTGTCGAGTGGGTGCTGCTTTTAAGCTAGTGCCGCGTTCTACAGGATGTTAAGTGAATAAAGTTAAAATCATTCACAATTACAGTAAAATGCACGCCAATAAAAACTCACACGTCGTCGTTTCGAATCTGATGATCGAAAAACGCGAAGTGAAAATGTGTCTCGGCGTCGTCGTTCCGGAGCATCGGGTGGGCGTTGCGTGTATTTAAGCTCCCGCGGCATGACGCCTCAATCCGGGTTACGGGTAATGGAATTTCCGCTTACGTAAGTTCCGGTAACATGTAATATCGTAGTCAAAATGTTAATGCACAGGCTTTTGTTCCGGGTGAAGGATATTCCTTTTCATAGAATTCCGGGGATGGGAATATTTACTGTATCGCACGATGATGAGTGTCAATGTGTGTGCTGTTGCCGCAACGCCCTGTTCCAATTTGCATGCAGCAATTTTGGAGCACACCATGGGGAGTTAGAAAAGTGTGTCAATCGTGAGACGACGTGAGCATTTGTGTGTGCAGCAGTGCCTGAGGTGCAATCATTTCAATTATCACGGACCTAATTGTTAAATTCACGACAAGATGTCAGAGTGAAGTGGTTGTTTTATTCTTCTCACTGTTCTAATTCAGGCCAGATCTCTTTTTCTTTCGAATCACCAAATTATTCGAGGCCATGAATGAATTACTTCTTACTCTTCTGCAGCTGCAAAAAACAGAAAAAAGAATGAATTATTCAATCTTAAAGTTGACCTGAAATGGAATTTGAGTCCTGTCCTTGCCGTGGCAACCGTGGAATACCTACGTTAGTTTTGAAGCATCCAGGTCGCTTGCTGACATCACTGCTTCAGAGTTGTACAAACAATATTGCTCATCGAAACGATCAGTCACTATTTATTTCAAGACGTACTGTTGAAACACAGATGAGTTCTTTTGAACACACATTTTCGGTAACTTACTCATCGACTTGTTTTTTTTTCAGCCTTGTCTTTATGGCTTACACATTTGATTGCTGATGAGTTATCCACCACAGTGG